GTGGTGGTAATTGACAAACTCTCTGTATCTGATACGTGTATGTAAACATCACATCGAATACCTTAGAGCTAATTGGAATTGCATGCAATGAAGAGTGAATTAGTATCAATGCAAACACACATACCACATGTTTGGATCTGTTAAGGTTATTTTACATTTATTTTGAAACTGATGTCAGAATTAAATGTTTGAAAGCACAACCAATCAGTTTTAAAATACGCATGTAAGCGAGCGAATTATTCATGTTAGCTTTATTTATTCTGCCTTGTGAAACTGCATTTTATATTTGCTGTTGATATCATTCTGACCTGTTTTAACATTTAACATGTTTGTCTTATTCGTACAAAATGTGTTATTTTTTAAAATGTCTTCCGAGTAAAGTTAATGCAGTTGTACAGTACACCTTTCATCCGAAGCAAGACATACTTTGTGATGCTTTCATATTTCTGAAAACTTGGTTTCGTGATATTGGGTAACGTTTTCTGGTGGTCACACAAACTAAACGCCCTATCTATTTATCCACGAAAACATTGTTTTTTTCCGTCGTTGATAAAAAAGAAAAGTTGCCCTTTGTTGTCAAGCGGAACAATAACTTTATGGTGCTCAAGTCGGATAGTTTGGAAATCTTAGATTTTAGAAATAATTTAGTTACTCCGGCTAATTCTGTACATTTTGTACTGTGAACAGCGGGATAATTTGCATGGAATAAAATTATATAACGTCATCATTCAGCAAGCCTAGCTATAGCTTAGTATAGGACTCTGTCTGCCTTGAATCCATGATATAGCAGGGACGGATCCAGGAGTATTTAAAGGGGGTCCGAGGAAACTGACCCCCCTCCCCTACACACACACACACACACACACACACACACACACACACTTGGCGTGGAAAAAAATTGGTATTTAAGAGGGCGAACGGTGCCATTTGGTACGGTTTAGAACTATGATTCAGCTATTCAAAATTTTCATTTCATGAGGGGACCAGACCCCCCTGATCCCCCCTCTAAATCCGTCATTGTATACTGCGCTTATCTCTCTGCACTAACGTGACAGTGCAAGTAGATACATTGACCTTTCGCTTCACAAAGGGATTGTGACCGGAACACGAATAACAAACAGGACAGGTAAAAAAAAAACATCTATAGATGTTGCTATTTAAATACTTCACCTCCAGAGCACCCATTGTGCGGTGTCGTCGTGTGTATTAAATGGCAGTAAGTAAACTGCTGTACGGTTTTCTTCTTTAGAACAAGAACTAAAAGTAATCGCCGTGAATATTTGGTGATAGAGTATCACAAGGGGATTGTTATTAAAGATATATAGCGTTTGGTTGTCTTATGTCTGTATCTATATCTTATAAATATGTAATATGTTTTTGTGGAAAAAAAACAACGACAAATGCAAGAAAAGGGAGCGTGCAAGGAATGCATGCACTACTTACCGTTACTTTGGCTTAAGCCAACTGTTGAAGAAAACTAATATAAAATGTTGCTTAATTGTGCATTTTAGAATTTCCATTTCAATAGAGTCATGGTCGAAAAATACTTGTTTAGAAGTTGTTGGCGACTCCATGAAAATACGACATTATTTCCCCCAGTTCTTGATCCTGGGGACAGTCTCTTTAAGCAGGTGACCCAGACGCTACTTTATGCAAGTGGCATACTTTAATCAGGGCGTTACCACCCAGTGTGAACGCGGTTGCGTTTTTTTGTAAGTAGAAAGTTAGGGCAAGCGGGATCAGGCTTACAGAAAAAAACTAAAAGGTAAGATAATGAAATGTTCTTCAGATCCATTAAAATCTTCACATGAATTACAGGTATAGGTACCATGTTCCAATAGTATATTTCTCTCCCTGAAACGCGATTTTCAGCGTACGAAATAATGCCATTTTTAAAACGGACAATTCAGAAAGTCGACCTTAATCCTGTAAAGCACATGAGGCAGCAAACAATACATGTCCTGCCACATTTGACGTAGTATCATAATCTTAACCCCGTGTTACACTGGGCTTGCGAAGAAGGAATATTTACCGCCGCCTTCTTATTTTGGTCGTAAGCGCTTGGCAACTACATCGTGATGTGAAGTCGACGGCATTTTAACTCTCCGTTCTCTATGTGCTCCAAAGCTTATCTCCACAGCTCTCTCAAACGCTCTCTCTAATATCCAACTTCTAACGTTTAAGTGTCGCAGTAGATATAAATCTTGATGACTTAAAATTGCAGTTAATGTTTTTTTTTGTCGTCAGCTTTGCACAAAGAACCTTGCACGTCACAAGAACGTCGGCCTCATAAAATATCTTTATGGCGAACACAACA